ACTTGTGTTAATTAGTGATTTCCTAATGAGAATAGAAATATAAGTAGGAAGTGCTTTGTGGGAAAGACCATAGGAAATGAAAATAAAATGATGGTTCTTACTTGCTAATTAGGACAGAATGGCACCTTCAGAAAAATCACAGTGGTTAGTATTACTGTTCTCTCCGGGAGGATGGACTCATTTGTTCATCTCGTCCAACTGAGGAATTGTGTATTCTTCCTTTGAATTTGACTAATTAAATGTAAGAATAATTTTAAAAAGAGAAAAATGTAGAAATGGTTTACCAGGAGCACTCTAATAATGAAAATCATTGCCAAGTTATTTAGTAATATTCTTATATTTTTCAACACCTCTTCACGTTTGGCAATTTCCTATGCAACCTTGGAAGTAATGGGTAAGAATAATCTCCTTGGCTGGGAAGTAACTGATCCAAATTGAATGAAAATCTTGAACTCGGGCATATTTAAGATGCTCATTATGACCGCGTATAAAAAAGCTGTTACTGGCATGTGAAATCTTTAGAACCAAGTAGTGATTGAACCTCAAAGGTTTATTTTTAAAGAAGACTCCTTCTTTTTCACAATTCTTAGGTTTTTTAGAATACAGCCAGGAATGAAGCATTATGGAAATTTATCAATTCTTAAACTTAGCAAATTCAGTTAGTAGCATTTTTTTTTTTTTTTTGCGGTACGCGCGCCTCTCACTGCTATGGCCTCTCCCGTTGGGGAACACAGGCTCCGGACGCGCAGGCTCAGTGGCCATGGCTCACGGGCCCAGCCTCTCCGTGGCATGTGGGATCTTCCCAGACCGGGGCACGAACCTGTGTCCCCTGCATCAGCAGGCAGACTCTCAACCACTGCGCCACCAGGGAAGCCCAGTAGCATTTTTTTATGCCTCAAGAGAATATCAGAATCCAGGCTCCAAGATCTGGACTCTTTTCTTCTAATGTGGATACATGTATGAATTTTCTAGGACTGCTGTAACAAAGTACCACAAGCTTAGTGGTTTAAGAACAACATAAATTTATTGTCTCACAGTTCTAGAGGCTGAAAGTCTAAGATCAACGTGTTGGTAGAGTTGGTTCCTTCTGAGGGCTGTGAGTGAGAATCTCCACCATGCCTCTTATCTACCTTCTGATGATTTGATGGCAATCTTTGTCATTATTAGCTTATAGTAGCATCACCTTGATCTCTGTCTTCATCTTCACATGGCATTTTCCCTGTGTATGTGTCTGGTGTCTACATTTCCTCTTTTAATAAGGATACCAGTCATATTGGATTAGGGCACACCCTACTCAGTATAACCTAATCTTAACTAATTACATGTGTAATGACCCTATTTCCAAATAAGATCACTTTCTGAGGTACTGGAATTTAAGACTTCTACATGTGGATTCACCTTGTAACATAATTCAGTCCATAACAATATGTAAGTAAAAAATGGATGTGGACATTGTTGAGAGTCATCCTGTAGATCATCTACTCATTTGAGATCTTCTATCTCATATAGTAAAACAGAGAAATTAAAGATTCAGAGGCAACTTTTATCAGAAGAGGGATGTTTTCTGTATGTACCCAAGGTCTCCCATTGGGAATCATCTCCTTGCTGGCTGCCCTAACATCAACCCTTACCTCAGCCTCAGTTCTCTAGCATGCTCTTTCCCTGAGTCACCTGGGAAAAAATATCACTTTTATATTACCCTCTCCTCAATAAATTTTGATGGCTCCCTGCTAACTGCATAGTAAAGTCCAAGCTCTCAAATATTCCCTTTAGAGTCTTCCACCCACCAAAGCATACCTGTCATCTTACTCCTCTCAGTTTTCACACGTACAAATCCAGTGTTCCAGCCAAACTCAACTTCTCATCATTTTCCGAGCAAACCAAAACATTTTTAAATTTCTGCACCTTTGTTTATTATGACTATTTTTGAAACCTCTTTCTTTCACTCATCCTGTAAGCCTGGCTGAAGTTGCACATCCTTCACGACACAGTCACTGTGCACTTGAGGTGTCTGCCTCTCATTCCTGTAGCACGCATGATCTGTGAGTCATTTTGAACTAATTTTTGTTTGTATTGTTTTTTTTCCTTTACATATTTATGTCTTATATGTCTTACCTCCCCGCCTGGCTTGTAAACATCTTGGGAGCAACTATATTCTATTTTGTTATTCATAGAGTAATACAGGTTGTCAAACATTATTGACACAGTTAGGACTGATTTATTGTGCATTTTCTTACCAGTGAAGTACACAATGGCTGTTTTATTGTTTCCCGTGATTTGTTGTGCACCTACAGTTAGTTGCAACAATCCTAGTTCACAGAGTTCCACATTGTCTCATGTAGAGTTGGAAGTCAAGGGGTTTGGGTCCATCCTGTTGAACTAGTTCATTTAGTCCTCATAGCTTTAGTTACCTTATCTATAAAACAAGGAAATAATGCCAGTTTAGTTCTAAAGTTACTGTCAGATCTAAAATTCTATAATTTATTAGTTTATACATTATATCATTCAAATTGAAATCTCTATGTAAAGCTAATCAGACACTGGAAGCTTTTATACAGATACATAGATTGATAGATTGATGAGCCTTGTATTGCTGATTTAGTTCTTTTTTTCTGTCAATGCTGACTGACAGTTTAGTGATCCTCAATTATTTGTTTGATTTTATAATTCTGGCTATATTGAAAATAGTCTTGAAGTGACCTATTGAAAATAAAAAACAATTAAAAGGTAATTTGGAGGTAATTTCTGTGGTGATATATAAGGAATTACTAACAGTCATTAGCCACAGAGAGCAGGGTTGGGGAAATGAGGGGAAGTGGACTTTTTCACTTTAATCAGATTTTAACAGTACACATTAACTTCACAATTAAAAAGAAGAATAATTAGGCAGTTTGAAGGCCAGTGCTATTTTTTAGAGATGGAATATCAGGCTGGCAAAAATCAAGAATAAGAAAGTAAAAATGCCTCCTCCCTCCTTCTTAAGGGTTGTTAGAAGCAAGATGCCAGAACTAAAAGTGTCTGTGGAGTACAACAATAGATTTGTTAGTGTCCTATCATATCATAATATTCAAAGTGTTTCTTCATGATCCTTAGTAAAGAGACTAGTGTTTTGAAATTGAAGGGAAAGTAAAACAAACAAGAAACCCAAGATTAGCAAAACAGTACGTGATACTTGGTACCTGAGTTGACTTAATTACCACAAGTAGATGAGCACTGAATATGACTCTAGATTCCCTGGAAACTTAGACCAAAAAGAACTATCTTGGGCTCTATCCTTTTAAATGTGTGATAGAAAAAAAAACACGTAGGTAAATCTATGGAAGAAAACTGTCCTTGTATTGACTGAGAGAGAAAATCTATTTTCTTTTATAAGGGATATTAGGGCACAGAATAAATCACGTCTTTATCTACAATTTCGTTTCAATGGGCATTTCTTTTATGGAGGCTCTAGCAGTGCTGAGAGCATAATACTGCATCTTAACAGAGGAGGGGTTTTCTTGCATAGAACAGAAAACAAGGCCCAGGACCTTTGCTTTCTGCTGATGTAACTTTTGAAGTTGGAAGAATTAAAATTTCTGGCTCATTAATGTATCAATCAGATTGCCTTGCAACTTCCTTAAATATGTCATTATGAGATGAGTAAGCCATGTAGATTAGGAGAGGGAAGAACCTCTTAGTTAGGTGTGCCCTCTGTGTGGAGTTCCCACTGGGAATCAGTCTCTATTGCAGTAGGAATGTATCAGAAAGGCAGAGGACATGTCCAGAAAGGGTGGCTTCACTAATTAGGTAATAGAAGCAAGAGGGGCTGGACCTGAGGAGCAGAACTATGGTCCCCAGCACCAGGATAGCAAGTGTTTGGATGTAAGAAGTTATCGAGTTCTCTCTTCTACAGCAAGATAATTCAGGGTTCCCAGCACCTTGCCTGTATATTGGGGAAGAAGTTAAGGCAGCCCTTGGAAGTTCATATCAGTTCTAGCTGTTGAAAATTCAACTGAACAGTGTAATCCATTAGAACTATAACCCGCTAGAAATTCAGTTTTGGGCCTTAACCAGTCCAGGTTTAATCGTACCATCATATAAGGGAGTTCCCCATCCTGGTCCTCATGAACTAGCCTCTTCTGGCCACCACAGTATCCTTAGCCAGGAGTGATGATTTTAATGACTCATCGCCTTTCCAAGGTAGGGGTATTTCCATAAACAGGAATATGCTCACCTCCTTTTCTTTTTGTCGATGATGGGCTGCTTACACCAGCTTCTGAAGGCCAATGTAGGAATTAAATACTTCTTCACTTGTATTCTTCCATTATCTTGTCCAAAAAATACTCAGTTCAAGAGATCTCACACCTTGCCTAAAAGTTACAGGCTTTTTTTTTTTTTTTAACATTCATCATGTTTCATTATTTCTACCAATGTCAATGTACAGAATGAAGGAAACTGACATTTATTAATGTCTCGTCTCTTGCTCTATATTATTTTAGGCATTTCTTGGCTCAGTGCTTACAATGTAAGTGCTGTGTACCCAAATTTACCTTCATGTAACCCTAGACTTAAGGATCTTTCCACTAGAGTCCTGTGTTGTCAGATGCAGGCAAATTGTCAAGTTCACTGGATATGTCTGGTAAATAGTATTTATAATAGGTTTGAGTTAATACTGGTTCAGTAGGTTTTGATTTCCCAAGGATGACGCTATCCAAGAGCTCCCTTAATGTAGAAAATACCTTAGGTAAATGGCCATCCCAGGGATTCAGGCTTGGATCAGAATTTAAGGTAAATGAATAAAGATACTGAGTTGTAATGCCTGGAAAGCAGTTCTGGACATTTACACACACACACACACAAACACAAACACATCTCTACCTCCCCCCATCATACACACACCTAATAGGAAATTAGGCACACAAAGCCTTGTCTAGGAAAATTTAATCCTTTCAATAGCTAAATAATAAAAAAGGAACTGGCAGACGATTGGTACACAAATATTACTAGGGAAAAAAAATTTCGCACCAAGCTGGCGGGTAATCCCCGTGTCGGTGTGATGTGCTAGCTCGGAAGTGTTTTCTGCCGCTGTCATGGTTCGTTCGCTAAACTGCATCATCGCTGTGTCCCAGAACATGGGCATCGGCAAGAATGGGGACCTGCCCTGGCCCCTGCTCAGGAATGAATACAGGTATTTCCAAAGAATGACCACAACCTCTTCAGTAGAAGGTAAACAGAATTTGGTGATTATGGGTAGGAAGACCTGGTTCTCCTTTCCAGAGAAGAATCGACCTTTAAAGAACAGAATTAATATAGTTCTCAGTAGAGAACTCAAGGAACCTCCACAGGGAGTGCATTTTCTTGCCAAAAGTCTGGGTGATGCCTTAAAACTCACTGAGCAACCAGAATTAACAAATAAAGTGGACATGGTTTGGATAGTGGGAGGCAGTTCTGTTTACAAGGAAGCCAGGAGCAAGCCAGGCCATCTTAGTCTATTTGTGACAAGGATCATGCAGGAATTTGAAGGTGACACAATTTTTCCAGAAATTGATTTGGAAAAATATAAATTCCTCCCAGAATATCCAGGGGTTCCTTCTGATGTCCAGGAGGAGAAAGGCATTAAGCACAAATTTGAAGTATATGAAAAGAACAATTAATGTGAAAACGTTTTCTGATCTATTTCAAGCCTCCTTCTCCCCCCCAAAAAAAATTACCTATTTTGTTTTTGTATTTTTTTTTTGCGGTACGCGGGCCCCCCACTCTTGTGGCCTCTCCCGTTGCGGAGCACAGGCTCCGGACGCGCAGGCTCAGCGGCCATGGCTCACGGCCCAGCCGCTCCGCGGCATGTGGGATCCTCTCGGACCGGGGCACGAACCCGTGTCTCCTGCATCGGCAGGCGGACTCTCAACCACTGCGCCACCAGGGAAGCCCAAAATTACCTATTTTTTCTTGTAGAGACTTTTGTTGACTTTAGATCTGTGTATAATTATTTCTAAACAAAGTACTCTTATTCCACATCAGTCTTAACTAGACTGTGTCAGATACCATTTGTGAAGCATTTCTTGCTGTAACTGCCTGAATGCCCATCAAGGGTCAAGAATAGTTTACCAGCACGTGCCTAGGATAGAATATCTACCAAGACAGCCCAAAGTGGGAAAGTCCCCTGGTAGCATGAGTTGAAACCAAAGCCTGTAGAGCTAGCTAGGAGCTAGGCAGTTGGATCCACAGGTCAGAAATGGATTATAAACAGAAGAGCTAGCATTCAGTTATTAAAGTTAGATCAAAAGAGGGACTGTGAATTACCTTATATCACACTTCTGGAAAAAATTTTGTTCACTTAGACTGGGAGTGAATAAGTTGAAAACTCCAGGATATTCCACAGGGATAGTAAAGAGGCAGGTATGAGACTACCTTTTCGGTGGTTAAAGGAGGTGGTCTGAGACCTTAAAAAACTTTGTTTCTGATCTTCAGTGAGATCCCATGGGATGTTACAATGACAAAAAAAGAATTGGCTGCTCTTTACAAAAAAGAATAATCTAATATCAAGCATGATGGCTAAAATTAAAAATTCAAAGAGGTAATAAATTGAGAATGAATATGCTAGAAACCAAAATTAGTAAGTTAGAAACTAAACTTCACAAAATTAAAAAATGAAAATTAAAACATTTTACCCATAACGTTAGCAAAGATTTAGATTAAGTATCCCCCCCCAAAAAAATAGCATTTTCTGCCTTATAAATTGGTACAACTTTTGAGAGTGTAAGTTAGCAGTATCAATTAAAATTCAAAATATTCTGGGTTTGGACCCAGAACTTCCACTTCTAGAAATTAATCCTGAGCAAAGAAATGGACCCAAGAGTATTTGTTGCAACTTTTTTTTTTTCAAACTTGAAAACAGCCCAAATGTTGATTAATAAGAAATAACTAACCAATATGTCTATAAAATGTAACATCTGCAGCAGTTAGAAAGAATGAAGTACTGACAGAAAAATGCCAAAAATTACTAAGTAAAAGAAGCAAATTGTTTATAATACTCAAAATGTTTAATAAATGTTCATGTGTGGGAAAAAGCAAAAAAAAGACATAAAAATATTACTAGGAAAAAATATAAAAGAGAGCAACAAATTTGTCAACAGATGAAGAGCACTTATTATAAAGTATAATAATGGAGAACATATATGAAAGTTGTGACCTGACATTTTATTATGCCTTTAAAATTTTGATATGATGGTTTCTAACACAGTATTGAAGGAGAATAGCAAAGTTGAGGGCCTGATATTACCCAACTTCAAAATCTACTATAAAGCTATAGTAATCAAGACAGCATGGGATTGGCAAAAAAAGAAATAGACAAATAGATAAATGGAACAGAATAGAGAGCCCGGAAATAGACCTCCATAAATATTTTCAACTGATCTTTGACAAAAAGCAAAGGCAGTACAATGTAGGAAAGATATCTCTTCAACAGATGGTGATAGAACAACTGGACATCTGTATGCAAAAAAATGAATCTGGGTGTAGAGCTTACACTCTTCACAAGTATTAACTCAAAATGGATCACTGACCTAAATTTAAATACAAAACTATAAAACTCCTAGAAGATAAGACAGGAGAAAACCTAAATTACCTTGGGTATGATGATGCCTTTTTAGATACAACACCAAAGCACAATCTAGGAAAGAAATAATGGATAACTCAGACTTTATTAAAATTAAAAACTCCTCTATGAAATACAATATCAAGAGAATTAGAAGACAAGCCTCAGGCTGGGAGAAAATATATGAAGAAGATACATCTGTAAAGGATTCTTACCCAAAATATACAAAGAACCCTCAAAACCCTCAAAACAGTAAGAAAATAAACAACCCAGTTTAATAATGGGCCAAAGACCTTAACAGAATCTCACTGAAGTAGATATACAGATGGCAAATAAGCATATGAAAAGATGCTCCACATCATATGTCATCAGGAAATACAAATTAAAATAACAATGTGATATCACTACATACCCATTAGAATAGTCAAATTCTGGAACACTACCACCAAATGCTGGTGGGGATGTGGAAAAACAGCAACTCTCATCCACTGCTCTGGGAATGAAAAATGGTGCAGCCTCATTGACAGTTTTTGGTTTTTCTCACAAAACTAAACATACTTTTACAGTTGGATCCAGCAATCCCACTCCTTCATATTTAGCCAAAGGAGTTGAAAACATGTTTGCAATAAAACTTGCACATGGATGTTTATAGAAGGTTTATTCATAATTCCCCAAACTTGGAAACAACCAAGATGTCCTTCAGTAGGTGAATGGCTAAATAAAGTATGGTAAAGCTAGAGAATGAAATATTATTCATTGCTCAAAAATGAGCTATAAAAGCATGAAAATACATGGAGGAAACTTAAATGCTTAAATGCATATAATTAAGTGAAGCCAATCTGAAAAGACTACATACTGTATGATTGCAACTCCATGACATTCTGGAAAAAGCAAAACTTTGCAGACTATAAGAAGATCAGTGGTTGCCAGGGCTTAGGATGGAGGGAGGGATGAATAAGCAGAGCGCAGAGGATTTTTTTTTTTTTTTTTTTTTGCGGTACGCGGGCCTCTCACTGTCGTGGCCTCTCCTGTTCCGGAGCACAGGCTCCGGACGCACAGGCTCAGAGGCCATGGCTTACGGGCCCAGCCGCTCCATGGCATGTGGGATCTTCCCGGACTGGGGCACGAACCCGTGTCCCCTGCATTGGCAGGTGGACTCTCAACCACTGTGCCACCAGAGAAGTCCGAGAGGATTTTTAAGGCAATGAAAATATTCTGTAAAATATTATAATGATGGATACATGTCATTGTACCTTTGTCCAAACACATGTAAAGTAAAACACTAAGAGTGAACTCTGAGGTGAACTATGAACTTTGGGTGATTATGATGTGTCAGTGTAGATTCATCCCTGCTAAAAAATGTATGAGTCTGGTGAGTGATGTTGATAATGGAAGAGCCTATGCATGTGTGGGAGCTTTGGGTATATGGAAATTCCTGTACCTTCCTTTCGATATTATTGTAAAACTAAAAATTCTCTAAAAATTGTCTTTAATTTTTTTAAAAAAGAAAGTTCTTCTGTGAACAAAGACCATGAATAATAAATACAAGAACTCAAGAAAGAGAAAACAAGGCAGTGGGAGGAAATGGAGTGTCAATTGGCAGATTTTAGTAAAATAGAAGAACAAATCAAAATCATCACAGAAATATAAAAGAATTGAAAAGAGCAGTCATGAGAATAGACACTGGAGAAAACACAGCAAGGGTACTGAGGATATAAGTGAGGAGATGCAAAAAAGTAAAATAAAAATGGAAGGTTGAAAAGGACTAAGGAGAAAATGATAGATATATAAACCAGGCAGAGAAGACCCTATATATGCATAATTGCAGTCCCTCAAGGAGAACACCAAAAACAATGGAACAGGATAAATATTTGAAAACATAACTTGAGGAAAAAAGTTGTGAAAAGGATAGAATACCTGATCCTATTTGTTGAAAGGACATATCATGTACCAGTGAAAATTGACCCAAATCAGTTAACACTGAGACATATTCTTCTGATATGTACCCAAGACATATGTCCTCAAGGCATATCATAGTAAATCTATTAGCCTTTAATGATAAAGTTTTTAAATAGCCATGTAGAATGATCACAATACTTACAAGAGGAAAAAAGTCAGACTGTCGTTAGATTTCTCCTCTGTGACACTGAACACTAGAAGTCAGTGGACCAAAACTTCTGGGATACTTAAGGAAAGAAAGTATAAATCAAGGATTTCATGTCCACCCAAGATTTTTATTAAGTATACAAAAAATATTAAATATGGCACAACTCCAGAAATACTGTTCACCTACCAGAGGCTGAGCTTCAGCCAATCAAGGGATAATAGAGGAGAATTTAGCAAAATGACTAGTGATAAGTACTATATATGATTAACAGAAATAAGACTAAACCAAATATGTGGATCAGATGACAAATCAGAGCATAAACTGTATATGCCTTGACAATTTAGAAATATACAAATAAAAATTGGGAGAGTAGGGGAGACAGTATTTTGGCACTTTCTTACAAAAATAAACATGCCACTACCATATGTAGAATACCACAGGTACAGTATTCACTGAATACCTCATCTGTAATAGTGTGGAGTCAAAGGATATTGTATAAAGTTGAAAAATCAAGCAATAGAATTCTAACTTGGTATTGTTATTTAACTTAACAGTTTGTAGATGGTAATAAACCATCTTTACAATAAAACAATAAAAAAAGATTGTTTTAAAACACAATTTCTAAATAGCTAAAATTAGAAATGCTGGACAATTTGTAATGACAGCACTGAGTTTTAAGAATTTTGCATTAAAAATTGAATAATCCTTTAAACAAAATAATGAGGTAAACATAATATTTCTCTTGAAAAGATACTCAAGATAATTTATGCTAAAACATAACCATAAGATATTACTGCACTTCTCTGTACTTACTTTTGAGAAAATTTAGTATACTGCATGGAATCATGGATAAGTTGAAGGCTATAAACCTAAAGAAAATAATAAGTAGTACAAATAGACTTTTGATAGTCCATACACACTTTTGTGGTTGTTAAATTAGTGCCTTTTGCTTGACTTTGAATGCTTCTGAAAAGTAAAGGATGTACTGCCCCTTACCAAGAAGTGGATGTACCTCCATGGGTTGATGGAGAAGTCCTATCTCTCAAGG